CCCATAAATAAACAATTTGGCCTAAAACAATGATTTTCGAGGGAATCATATTTTCGGTAAGGGATTTGTGTTAAAAGCTATAAAGTGATAAAGTTCAACATTGAAATTGGATAATCAGATCGAACCAAAAATTCATGAAAACTTGAAGGATGATAGAAAATGGTTGAAACCGTTATTCCATATTTTAGATTAGAGAAATTTGGCTCAGAAAAGTGTAGTTTTTCAGATTTGACCGAACAGTGGAATTTTAATGACTAAAATGCAATTTTCAAAAATTGCATGGACAAAATAGAAAGTCAAAGCTAAATTGATTCATCTTTGACCAAGGAATATTTTAATGGAGGAAATGGCAATGGAAATTGGAAATTTTTAAGATACAATAATGGTATTTTTGAAATTTCTCATAATTAAATAAAAAATTCAATTATAATAATTTAAATACAAGTGTAAAGGCTAATTTAATGTGAGAATAATCAAGAGATTAGTCATTTTCAGCTTGTTGTTCTTCTCTTGGCCGAACCACCTTCTTCAATGTAAGAAAAATTTTTGTTTTGATTTTTGAAGTTATACACTTGGTTTTTGGATTAAGCTATTAGATAGAGAATTAATCTACATGAAATTCTCTATCATTTGGTGCCAATATTTCATGGTGAAGATGATTATGTGATGAGATTTGATGATTAGGGTTATAAAGAGCTTAGTGATTTTAAAGAGTTGATGAATGATTTTTATGTTTTTTGATGTTAGTGATTATTTCTAAAGCATGTACAATGATTAAAATTAATTGTACATGCATATATAAGGTTTGGTCATGTAGGGTTTATGGAGAATCATTGGATTGTGATTCAAATTCATGTTGTGATGATTGGAAATGCATGAATTTAATCATAGGAGGTTGAATTCATGCTTGAAATTGAACAAAAAGTTCACCTATTGTGACGTGATGGACTCGGCCATAAGGAAAATTTTAGGGGGAAATGTTGAAAATTTTTCTATGCTTTAGAAATAATATTAGAAGTGTTCTATATTATTTGGAGATTGGTTTAGATTAATTTGGAACCTTGAAAATGAAAAAGGGCTTGTTTACAAGTTTTAAGGATTTTGGGACATTATTGTATAAATGTGAGATTTGGAGTATTCAATGATAATATTTAGTATTGAAGTGCTGGAAATTAAGTTGGAAAGCTATTTGGAACCAAATTACAAATATGGTAAAAGTTTGGGTTGGAATTTGAAAGGTCCTAAGAAAATAGGGACTTTTGTGCAAGTTAGTAAATGTAGAAGTATCATTTGGGTAAATTAGGACAATTCTGGAAGCTTGCTGAAATTTTTGTTTAATTATTAAGTTCGAATCAAATTACAAGTTTATAGAGATTGGAGGTTGAATTGACAAAGTTTAAGAAAATTCAGGTGATATTGTAAGCTTTTAAATGTTTAAGTGTTGATTTGAATATTTTATGAAAGTGCTTGAAATTTCATGTGAATAATATGAAATGATTATAATAGTGAAAGGCTATTGTGAATTTAATGGAATAGTTGAGGTGAATTCTAAGAAGAACTTAAAGTTAATGGTTTGTTTTGGAAATTGGCAAAAGTCGAGGGATTTAAGTTGAGAATAAATATTTGGGAGATTAAGAGTATTTTGAGAAGTTTGGAATTTTAATTAAAGTATGATTTAGTTATCCTATTGATTAAGTATTGATTTTTATTCATAGACTTATATTTTTAAGATTCAATTATGTTAGTTCGATACTAACATATAGTTTGAATGTTATGTTATGATGTTATGTTGCCAGACTACGATAAACCTAGTGATCCAAACGATCCGAAAGGAAAGGAAAAAGTACACAAATAAAGAATTAGCATATAAAGGTTCGGTAGTGAGGAAAATGTAAGTGTATTTTATTTATTTAATTATTTTAATCGAGTACGACTTGTGACGAGTCAACCTCACATTATTTATTTCAAAGTTATGAATTATGTTTTAATTTTTTGAAATTATATCTGAAATATTTTAATAAGTTTTATATATGATTTTAGATATGAACTGTCATGTTATATTTTGTGAATATGATCTGAAAATGATTATGATGTGATTTTTATTAAATGATTATGAATTGAAATGAAAGCCCATTGTATGTTGTATTGAGAGTCATAGGTACAATTGACATGCCATTAGGTAGAGTGATTATATTCTGATTCTGATATATTATAGTGTATCGGTGGGTACATTAGTATATATATTCCGATGTGATTGCACTTTGTATGCATATTGCGATTTCCGATATGATAACATTGTGTGTACTTATCTGTTCCGATTATGATTATATCACTGATATATGTATTGCACACACTTGTCTGACTTACGTAGCTTATATTCTCTTAAATATACTTTGGGCTACAAAAATATAATATGAAAGTTTTTGAAGAGTGTATGATTGAAAAGAAATATTGACTGATTATTATGTCTGGCATGATTTATTATGATTTTGTGATAAGATGATTCTTTTTAGGTTTCTGATAAAGATACAACATGAGATATCCGGTTAGAAAGTTCTGAAAATTTTGTCTGAATTATTTTTAAATGTTTTTATATATTTTTGGTACTTTATATATTTATTTTCACCTTTAATATTACTACATCACTAAGTTGTACTTAGCGCGTGAAGATTTTTCATGTGTAGGATCTAATAGAGATACGTACGTATTGTGAGAAATCTCCCGAGCATCTTTTGAAGATCATCTATAATATCAGTATCAATAAGACATCATCAATATATATTTTTTACTAATAGTGACATGTATAATTATGTTATTAGTCTGCTTTATCAGTTGTTGATTAAATAGTTTTGTAATTATAAATTATAATTGATTATTTTAACTATATTAGTTTATCATTATTTGGTATGCATCTAATATATAATATATATTTTTAAATGATTTAAAAATTCAGGTAGATATAAATATTTTTAAAGTTAAAATATGAATGTTTTAAAAAAATAAAAATAAAAATTAAACAATTGTGAATAGTAAATATTGATCTATTTGATGTGATGTCTATAACTCGTATTTTTAAACGAATACGGACTGTAGGTTATATGCCGACTCTATGACAAAATTGACTTGGAAACGATCTTTTGGAGTTCATACCTTCCATGATCCATCTTCATAAGTTGGGAAAGCGTTCTACGAGGACAATCGGAGTTGCCATGATGGTCATTTTGTCCATGATGGTCATTTTGTCTAGTACTAAGATTTGTTTTCTTCCTTCTACTCAATATATATATATATATTTTATATATATATATATATATATAAAAGATGATTACGGGTAATATTAAAGGTTTTCAATAATTTGATAATGAATATTTAAATATTTTAATCATCAATACTTGATTCTGATACTTCAAGAGATAATATATATCTCTTTAATCACTTAGACTGATGTAAAATTTTTATATTTAAATAGTCATTTACGTAGTTTACACATTAAAAAAGTGATTAAAAAGGAGGGGAGGAATTAAACAATGAATTAAAAGGCGTCCATTTTCCTTTTGGAGAGTCAAGGTGGGAAAAGAAAGAGTAGGCCACTTTGAATGCTTTACTGAATATGGCACAACACCTCACAAAAAGTGAAGATTGGGAATCTTCAATCATGCTTCTTTTCAATTAACTTTTACATTATTTAGTTTACAATCGCCAATCAATCATCAAACGATTGGTTGAATTTGAGTAGTTAAATGTGACTTCACTAGGATTGATTAATAGCATGTTTTATTATTTGTTTGTCAAAATTTTAAAAATAAAAAAAAATGCTTAAAAATATTTGTATCTCCAATTCCTAAATAAGAAGCCGTTGCATATTTAAGTAAATTTTAATTTATAGCATCTTTTTTTTAAAAATAATTTATGTCTCTTAAATGTTAAAATATATTTAAATTTTAAAATAATATTAAATATTAATTTTATTATCGTTTTCCATTAATCGTGATATTTTTTATGAACTAAACACAACAATAAATATAAAAATTAAAAAAAAAACATTTTGAATAAATTAAACGCTCATATTACTTCATACAATATAATTTTATTTTTTATTTTTTATTTTTCAGAAAATAATGTAAACGATGCCTTTTAGCCATCAAGTGCCCCTCCAAAATTGTCTACTTCTGTTAATATATGCAAATCCTAATAAGCTTGCATATCATTTGAAAATTAAAATAAATACTTTTTAGATTTTATAAATGAGTACTTTAACAAATATTTAAAAGTTTTTTTCACCTATTTATATTTTTTAAATAAAATATTATAATATCAAAAACCCAAATCATGAGGTAATAAAGAATGGCATAAATATGATGAAAAGTGGATAGATTAGAATAATATGGACTTTATTGTCAAATAAAAATAGATTCAACATTTGTGAATTTATTATCCACAATTAAGTTCTTTTCTCTTTGCTGCATATTATTGTTATCTGAATAATATAATTTCACAATCAATACTAAAAAAATATTTATTTAAATCCTCTAACTTAATTTTTATTAAAAATTTGTCCTCGGGGTTTGAATATTTAAAGATGTACGTGACATTTTATGAATTGATGAGGTCATTGTAATGTTGCTTGTGTGTTAGGAAAAATATTTTATAGATTTAATTGTACTTTTCAACTCAATCTATTTACTAATTATTTAAATTTAATACATTTAACAAATTAAAATTTTCAAATATACTTATTTTCTTTATTTTTAATTATAATCTAGTTCAATTATTTTATAATTTTAATAATTTTAAAATTTTAAAAATATACCCGACTGTGTTTTTTCCCCTTTAAAAATATATACATAAAATTAGTATTTTCACTTTTTAAGCAATTTCATTATATTTGTAAGGGGGTAAAAAAGATGTAGCACGTGTACGACACGTGATTCACATCGGTATATATGAAAAACTGTTCCATAGAGGGAGACGCCTCATTTGACCCTTGTTTTACGCTATTCTGTCCAGAAAACAAAAATTGCCGTCACCATTTCCGTTACCTAACGCCGTCAGTTCGAAACGGCGCCGATGTCTCGACCATTTCCTTATTCAGATCCGTCTCTTTAAACAGATTCCGTTCTCTCTCTCTCTCTCTCAAAGGGATCATAGTTTTCAAGCTCTCAATTTTCTCTGGATTCAAATCTTCTCCTTTTAGGTAATAATAATACGAGTCAATTTCTTTTTTCCTTCTCATCTTACTTTTTTAGGGTTAGGTTTTTTTTGTGTGTGTGTGAGATTGATTTGATTTCCTTTCAAATCTGCTCCCCTTTTGCGACTCTCACTTTTCTATTGGAATTTTATTGGATTCTGGTCCTTGTAGAATCACGGATTTGATTTTTTTTCACTTTATATTCTATTTGGTTTGATGGGTAAGAAAATCAATAGAAAATGGAAATTTCGAATCTTTAAATTTTTAGGGTATTTTAGATCTTAGATAATAAAAACATTAGCTTGATTCGACTCTGATATAATCACCCTTTTGATTATTTTGAATCTATTTTTATATGGAAAAATTGAGGTTGAATTGAGTATATGTGTATGCTTTTTTCAGGTTGGGTTTTTTTTGGTGTTAACAATGTTGCTGCCCTTGTTCGTATTCAGCTGTCGTTTGATTCTGATTGATTGATTGATGAAGCCTAGTGGATTTTGTTGTGCTCGGAATTGAATCATGAAGATTTTTATGAGATTTACCAGTGGTTTTGTGGATTGATTGGTTTATGAATATACTATTTGGCTCGTATTTTTCATTTGATTTATGAAGATATCTCTACAGGGAGCTTTTGTTTATTTTTAGGGTTTTTAAGTTTCAAACAGTGGAAAATAGGAAACAGTTAGTAGAGCAAGGAAAAAAGAATGGGGGAAGCTCTTCTTACTACTCTGTCAATGGAGGCTGATCACCCGTCTACACTTCTGTCTATGGATTCGGGTTCTTTTCTACCAGATGAATTGGAGAGAGAGATGAATCGATCTATGATGCTTTCTCGGCCACCCGATATCAATCTCCCGTTATCATCTGAACCGAGCCCACCTCCATTGGCATGGAACGATCCATGCGACATCTTAGATGTTAGCCTTGCACCCCAGATTTATGAGGCGGTTCTCAATGTCCCAAAAGTAGCTAAGAAGTGTATGAAGCGTCTTGACAGTGTATGGGGTGCTTGGTTTTTCTTTACTTTCTACTTCAAGCCTGTTTTAAATGGGAAGTCAAAATCTAAGGTAATCAGAGACAGCAATGGTTTGTCCAGTTATGACAAGTCAGACTTGCAGCTAGATTCGTTCTTGGTTCAGCATGACATGGAGAACATGTATATGTGGGTTTTCAAGGAAAGGTCCGAAAATGCACTTGGTAAGATGCAGTTGAGGAGTTACATGAATGGGCATTCTCGACAAGGAGAGCCCCCGTTTCCGTTTAGTGTTGGTAATGGTTTTGTTAGATCTCATAGAATGCAGAGAAAACACTACAGGGGTCTCTCTAATCCTCAGTGTTTACATGGGATTGAAGTTGTGGCGTCACCAAACCTCTCAAATCTTGATGATGAAGAGAAGAGGAGGTGGAGAGACCTTACCGGCAGGGATATTAACTTCTCTATGCCTCCTGAAGCAAGTGATTTTGCAGCTTGGAGGAATCTTACCAGCACAGAATTCGAGCTTGAGCGTCCCCCGGCTCTTTTAAAGGGTAATTTAAATTCCCACACTAGAAAGCTGCTTAACAGTACTGGTGTGAACTTATCAGCTCAGCAGATAGAACATAGCAACGGTAATGGGTTGGATTTATCACCTGTCTGTAATAAACGGAAAAAGGACTATTTCTGGAACGGAAATGATGAGGATCCGGGTTTACCAAATAATTTGTATTGTAATGGAGTTTTGGATATGAAAATCCACCCAGTTCATCTGACATGGATGAATGAATTTAGTGGGGTAATGAAGAATGTATACGGGCCTGTAACAGCAGCAAAAACAATATATGAAGATGATGAGAGCTTTCTGATCATTGTCAGCTTGCCATTTTCTGATCGTCAAAGGGTGAAAGTTACTTGGAGAAATACTCCCTCACATGGAATTGTAAAGATATCGTGTGTGAATACAGCTTGCATGCCACTCATTAAGAGGCATGATAGGACATTTAAGCTAACAGATCCAGCACCTGAGCACTGCCCTCCGGGGGAATTCGTCAGAGAAATTCCCCTTCCAGACCGCATTCCTGAAAATGCTAAACTGGAAGCATACCATGATGAGACCGGAACAATGCTCGAGATTATCGTGCCTAAGCAACGTGGAGGACCAGAAGAGCACGAGGTCCGTGTCTGCTTTCGTCCCTCCCCGTGGAGTGAGAGACCATTCATGGACCTAGAGGAATCTATATTGTGATACAGGTAGGGATGTTAGTGGTTGGTGCTTCATTGTTTCCTAACCTCATTCCATGAGGAAATCTATATGAATTATAACTGCATTTTTTATATCATATGTTTGTTTTTTGTCATACTGCGTGTAGTTGATTCATCGTAATTATTGACAATTCATCTTTATTGACATAATCATTCTTTTACATACATATAGGTCCTTGCATTTAATTTAAGTTGTGAATCATTGAATTAGAGTTTGGGGTTCTCTTGTTGAGTACTTGCTTCATGTGAAAGATGCATTTATGTATATCATAGCGGTACCCTTTTTTTTATATCAATTTGCATTTAGCTTATTAGAGGAACCGAAGTGTTGATTTTAGATTCGGTAAATTTCAACTACCTTACAAATAGGTTCGGTCGCATTAGATTAAGAGTCGCTCATTTCTTCACACTAAGGGATTGAAAATTCTGCATTTTCTCCGGTTTAACCAGTTGATTCCACACCATTTTTGCTCACATACCTAAATGATTGAAGCGAGTGGTGTTCTTCCTAAAATTTTAAGTTTGAACACGTATGTTTGCATGATATCAATTAGGGATGTTCATGGATGGTTAACCGTACCGTTTAGCCTAAGCGGTCGGTTAACAATTATAACGGTTATGAGATTTTTCTAACCGTAACCGAACTATTAAGAAACGATTAACCGTTAATGTTTAATTGTTATTAGCGGTTCGGTTACAGGTTAACTTATGGTTAACCTATTATAATTTTTTGTCAAAATTTTTTCATAACTCATTAAAAAAAATGTAGCACTTAACACATACTTACACCGGTGTAAGTGAATAAAACAAAAAGTGTAGCACTTAACACATACTACATCGGTGTAAGTGAATAAAATAAAAAAAGTGTAACACTTTACACATACTTACACCGATGTAAGTATGTACATCTTCTAATATCTTAGTACCTAAAATTAAATATATAATTAATTTGGTGTAAGTATGTTTCTATATTTTCAAAGAAATAAAAAATAAAAAATAATAAAATATATATATTAAGTTATTTGTATACAAATTTTATTAAAAATATATATAAATTATAAATAATAGAAACTTATATTAAGTTATTTATATTAAATTATTTATGTAAAAATATAATAAATTATAAATATAATCGTAAATTTAATTTATTGAAGGTTAACTGTTCATCAAAATCCGTAACCGTAACCTTAATTGTTAGTTATCATTTTTAGCGATTTGGTTAACCAAAACCGTTTAATATAACGGTTTAGTTAATTAACCTGCTAAATATAACGGTTATACTGGTTAACGGTTACAGTTAACGATTTCGGGTTTTTTTTAACACCCTTAATATCAATAGGTGATATCACTTTCGTTTATTTTTTTTCACTTTACCTTATTGATTTAAAAAATTAATATATGATCATTTTCGTTTTTATCTAATTAAGATATTATCACTGAGAGTTAATTGTCATTAGAATGTTGATGAGGAAGTTGATGTGGTAGTGGCTTTATAAAATTAAGGGTAAACTACAAAGTTGATTACTTTTATTTTAGTTTTATAAATAGTTACTCAATTCAAAAATTTTAATTTGTTGTCATTTTCGTTTCGTTTTAATCAAGACCTCATCACTTTCGTTTTATTTGAATTAACGATTTAATGATGGCACGTTAATAAAATGGTTAATTTTTGTTTTAACCCTTGAATTTTAGATAAAATTTAATTATGGATTTTTTTGTAAATCTAAAATAGATTAGGGACAAATTTGCCATTTACTATTTTTAAATATGTTTTTATTCTTAAATTACCTTTGCACCGCTCAACCCATCTCTAATCCGGCGACGAAACAGGGGCGACGATCTTTAAGCCCTTCCTTGAACGACGAAATTTTGGGACTAATAGTTTTCAGAGCAGACGTTCAAGACCCAAGCCAAAAGCTTTCATCTTGGAACGAAGACGATGACACTCCTTGTAACTGGATTGGTGTGAAATGTAACTCAAGGTCGAACCGTGTTACCGAGCTCAACCTAAACTGTTCTCTCTTTCGGGTCGGATCAGCAACTCAAGTTCTTGAGGAAACTTTCCTTAGCGAGGAAAAATCTCAGTGGAAGTATAAGCCTCGACTTGGCAAAGCTTGAAAGTATAAGAATCATAGATTGGAATGAGAATTATCTTTCGGGTTTTGTCTCTGATGATTTTTTTCAAGCAATGTGGGTCTGTGAGGTCCATTTTGTTGGCTAGTAATCGGTTATGGGGTAAGATCCTTCGAGTTTAGGCTCTTGTGCTACACTTGCTGCTGTTAACTTGTAATGGAACCAGTTTTCAGGGTCTTTGTGGTGGGATCTTGGGTTTGAGTGGTTTAAGGTCATTGGATTTGTCTGCCAACTTGTTGGAAGGTGAAATTCCACAAGGGATTGAAGCTTTGAACAATTTGAGATCCATTAATTTGAGAAAAATAGGTTCACTGGGCAGGTTCCTGATGGGATTGGGAGTTGTTTATTGTTGAAATCAATTGATTTCAGCATGAATTTACTTTCTGGGTCAGTTCCACAGACAATGCAAAAGCTTAGCCTTTGTAGTTATCTTAATTTGAGTATGAATTCATTTGGCGGAGAGGTTCATGTTAAGACTTTGGATATCTCTGTGAATAATTTTTCCGGTAAAATTTCTCTGTTAATAGTTTAACCGGAAGCTTGCCTGCGTCTATGGGAAGCAATGTGAATCTTCTCGCGTTGGACTTTAGCAAGAATTCGATGAGCGGTGATCTTCCTGGATGGATTTTCAAGACTGGTTCGAGTCAAGTATCACTTTCGGAGAATAAGCTTGGTGTCCCTTATGTTATAACAGTTGTGTATGGTTCTAATGATGGTGTGGTGAGAAGATTACTCTAGCAACATCTACGTGATCTAGCTGATAGCATTGGTTATTTTCCTTGGTGGAGGCGATTTTAATGTTACTCTCCATCCTTCTGAGAGTTCTGCTTCTGATCTTCTGGGTCCTTTCATTTCCTCTGATATGCGTGACTTCCAAGAGGTTGTTTCTAACCTCGATCTGATAGATCACCCTTTCTTTGGTCCCTCCTACACTTGGTACAACAAACAGATTAATTCTTTTCTTGCTAGAAAGCTAGACAGAGTTATTGTTAATTCTAATTGGATGAGAAGTTTTAAGACTTCTCATGTTGAATTTCTCGCCCCGGGTATTTCCGATCACTGCTTGGCTTTGGTTTGGCTTTCTAAAGAATTTCAAGCTAATCGTCCCAAGCCCTTTAAGTTTTTCAACTTCTGGGTTCAGCACCCTAACTTCTTGAATGTTGTTCGTCACTATTGGATGATTCCAACTTATGGAAATCCAATGCAATGCATGTTCTCTAAATTAAAGCAGTTGAAAGCTAACCTTAGAGATTTCAATCAATCTCACTTCAGTGACATTACTGCCAGGGTTCTCCAAAAGAAAACTGAACTGGAAATCCAACAGCTTAAAACTTTAAAAGGTGATGATGAAGTTGTTAAGGAAATCCAGCTGCAAGCTGATCTTAAGTCCCTTGAAGCTGCTGAAATTTTGTTTTTAAAACAAAAAACTAAGATGCAATGGCTTAAAGATGAAGATAAATGTTCCAAACTTTTCCATTCTGCTCTAGCCATAAAAAACAAAAGAGAAACCATTCGTATATTGGTTGATGACCAAGGAAATAGGCTGGAAACATTTGACTCTATGTCAGCAGAGGTGATAAGTTATTTCACCAACTTAATTGGTACTAAAGACCCTGAAGTGAAAACTCCTGACCCCTGCATGTTGAAAAACATTCTCCAATACTCTTTGCCTATGGAAAGTGTTGAAGATCTTATTAAGGAAGTTACTAACGATGAAATTAGAAACGCTTTCTTCTCTCAGGGAAATGACAAGTCTCCCGGTCCCGATGGCTATACTTCTTTTTTTTTCAAACAAGCTTGGCGTATTATTTCTGAGGATGTTATTGCTGCCATTAAACATTTCTTTCAAGAATCCTTCCTTCTTCCAGCCTTCAATGCTACCACCATAGCTTTGGTGCCTAAGGTTCCCAACCCAAGAAAAGTTAAAGACTTTAGACCAATATCCTGCTGCTCTGTGTTCTACAAAGCAATTTCAAAAATTCTGGTTTAAAGACTTCAGATTCTCATCTCTGATATTGTTTCTCTCAACCAAACCGCTTTTATAAAAGGGAGAAGTATTGTGGATAATACACTTCTAGCTCAAGAACTGGTCCGCGGGTACAATAGGAAAAATATCTCTCCTAGATGCTCTTTAAAGATTGACCTTCATAAAGCCTTTGACACACTGAATCGGGACTTCATTTCTACCATTTTACAAGCCATTGGTATGCCAAGTATTTTCATCAATTGGATTGAACTTTGCTTCTCTACTTCTAGATTCTCTATTTCCTTTAATGGGAGTCTTATTGGTTTCTTTAAGGGAGCTAAAGGCATTCGTCAAGGTGATCCCCTCTCTCCTCTGTTATTTGTTCTCTATGAACATTATCTCTAAACTCCTCAATTTAGCAGCTGCCAAAGGTATTTTTGGTTTCCATCCGAAATGTAAAAAAATTGGCCTCACACATCTTTCTTTTGTCGATGATCTTTTAATTTTTTGCAAAGGTACTGTTGATTCTGTTATTGGGGTTTCTAGTGTCCTTGATATATTTTATGAGATGTCTGGCCTTAAGATTAATGCTTCGAAATGTGACTTTATGCTGCTGGTATTCATTGTTCAATTCTGGAGGAAATCAAACTGCACACTGGGTTTAAAATTGGTAGATTCCTGTTGATATCTCAGAATTCCTCTTGTCACCAGGAAAATTACTGAAAGTGATTGTGTTGTTCTCTTTGATAACATTAGAGCAAGGTTAAATCATTGGTATAATAAATCTCTAAGCTATGCTGGAAGGCTGGAATTAATCAAAGCTGTCTTGTTCAGTATCACTAACTATTGGTGTAGGTAAATCTCTCTTCCTCATTCTGTCCTTAAAAAATTGAGCAACTTTTCTCACGTTTTTTCTGGAAAGGTGAGGATAAAGCTGCGAAAGGAGCTAGAGTGAGTTGGCAAAACATATGTCTTCTAAAATCTGAGGGAGGGCTTGGTCTTAAAGATTTGAAGACTTGGAATAAAGCTTGTATGATCCTCCATATCAAGAATATTCTAGCAGG